CTCTCTCACACACACACACACACACACACACACACACACATCATCATCACACACACACACACACACACACACATCATCACACACACACACACACACACACACACCTTTCTTCTTCTTCCTCTCCTCCTCCTCCATCCCCTCGTCCCCTTCCCCACCCTCGTACTCCCCCTCTCTCTCTCCTCATCCTCCCTCTCTCTCTCTCCCTCGTCCTCTCCCTCCTCCGCTTTTTTCTTTTTTTCCTTTTTAATTCTCCATTGAAATTGACATTTCTTTTGTTCCTTGTTCTCGCAGGTGCATCGTTAGCGTCTGCCACGTCAGCAGGTGTTTCGTCCGCACCTGCCACGCCAGCAGCCGCCACGACAGCAGCAACCACGTGAGCAGCAACCGCTTCAGCAGCAGCTGCAGCACCGACATCAAAAGCCACTGCACCTTCCAGTGCCATGTCAGCAGCCACCACAACAGCAGCAGCCACGTGAGCAGCAACCGCTTCAGCAGCAGCAGCAGCAAGCGCTTCAGCAGCGGCAGCAGCAACCGCTTCAGCAGCAGCCGCAGCAACCGCTTCAGCAGCAACAGCCACTGCACCTTCCAGTGCCAGCTCCCGCAACAGCATCAAAAGCAGCAGCCACGTCAGCAGCAACCGCTTCAGCAGCAACCCCGCACTGACTCTGCAGCATCACCGGTGTCATGGCAGGGGAGCAACGGGAGCCGTTCCGGGAGGACATGACCTGCAGTAGGGACCGCGTCGTGTGGACTTGGGTCACTCCTGGGCAGATGCTGCCGGGCAATGCTCGTGGGTCGAGAAGACTGCGGTGCAAACTCTGCAACAAGGAGTACTCCGKTAATCGGAAGYGTGCGTGGGAGCACTTCATTTTGGCGAGGGCGTCTGCCAGGTGTCCACATTCGAACCTGTCGATTTGGAGGAGGCTGCATGGCATCGGTGTACAACTGCCACCGAACCTGCATGAGAGGGTGCAGCGCGTGTTGGAGATAGAGAAGAGCGACGAGGGGGACACTCTTGTTCTGGGTGGAGGAGAAGGGGGCGAAGGCGGGATCGCCGAGGATCCCGGGGAGGCACCGGGTGGGGACACCATGGAGGTTGACATCGGCGAGGATGAGGGGACGAGGGGTGTTGTGACAGGCGGCCTTGCTACTGCAGGGAGGGCCGGTTCCTCGCAGGCTGTGGTGCAGGGGGCGCGCACACATGGCCCGACGAGGCAGACGAGCATCAGGAGGTTTGCGAAGAACCCGAGGCAGGAGGACATGGATGACTCCTGCTGCGAGTTCTTCGTGGAGAACGCCATACCGTTCAACGTTGCCAGAAGCAGGAGCTTCAAGAAGTTAATGCGGACGTGTATCGGACCGCAGCCTGTTGGGAGTCATCCACTCGTGCCTACTGGGTATAACCCCCTCAGGTGTCGCCTGCTCGATCGTTTGAACAAGAGGTTGGTGGATGAGGAGCAGGCGATCCGTGACGACTGGCAGGTGACTGGTTGTACATTCATAACTGATGGCACCACAGACATACGTGGGCGATCACTTATGAACTACATCCTCGCAGGCCGATCGAAGCCTGTTTTCGTGAAGTGCGAGGATGTGAGCGAGGGAGACAAGGACTCTGCAGCTGTCGTTGCCGGGTGGAAGCTGTTCTTCAGAGAGTGGGGGGTGGACAAGATCACGACGATATGCACTGACTCTTTCGCCGGGAACACGAGTGCTGCGAGGATGTTGAGGGAGGACCCCGAGTTCGCGCAGATCTATTGGATCCCTTGCACGACGCATTGCATGGACCTCCTGATGCACGATACAGGCAAGGAGTGGGCGGATGAGATCATCACCAAGGCCAACAAAATAGTGAACTTCTTCCGGGTTCACAGGTGGCCTCGGTCGCGGTTGAGGACGCAACTGTTGAAGTACCCTGACTTGAAATGCACCTGCCTCCTTCGGCCTGCTCAAACAAGGTTCGGGACAAACTATGTGATGCTGCAGCGACTTGAGGTGTGCGAGAGGGCCATCGTGCGTATCGTCACCGGACACGGTTGGGATATTAGGGCGAAGGCCTACTTTGTGGAGGAGACAGTTCTTGACAAAGCATTCTGGGCTGATGTCAAGAAGCTGACTGCCGTCATGAAGGGGCCTTATGATGTGTTGCGAGAGGTGGACAAAGATGTCCACTGCTTGTCACGCATCTATGATATGGCGTGTCGGTTGCCTGGCTTCGTTCGCTCGGCCCCCCTCTCCGCGGACCAGCGAGATGACCTTCACAGGGATGTCGGCAAGAGGACGGACATGCTGCTCAGCCTCATCCACGCCGTTGCACGTCTGCTGGATCCTATGTTGAGGGACATTACTGTTTTCAGTAATGTCGACCTCATGGCACAGTTCGAGAGCGTTGTGGAGCGGCTGATCGGGAAGAGTGGGAGCTCGAGATTTGACGACTGCATGGACCAGTTGTACGAGTTCCAGTTTGGGAGAGGAGTCCTCGGCACCCCGCAGTCAAAGAAACGGGCTGAGAAGGACAATGCGGTGCTATGGTGGGAGGCGCATGGTGCGGGGCATCCAGAGATCCGAGAGTTGGCGCTGAAGGTGCTCTCCATCTGGACGACTTCCTCTCCTGCTGAGAGGAACTGGAGCACTTGGGCTCTCGTGCAGACGAAGTCGAGGAACAAGTTGCACCACCAGCGCACCGAGAAATTGGTGGCCTCGCACTGGAGCTTGAGGCTCAAGAGTAGGGGGCAGGATGGGGCCACTGTTGCAGGAGGGTGGTTGGGGCTCGCAGCCGACTGGGAGGACGAGGACTTGGAGGGTGACATGGCAAATGTCACAGAGGCAGTTGATGACATTGAGGCAGCTGGTGAGGGCACTGCTTCTGCGGTGGGCAACACAAACATTCGCCCCGATCCCATAGCGTCGTCCACTTCGAGATCGGTGCAGAGGTTAGTGCAGGTGGAGGAGGAAGATGAGGATGAGGCCGATGAGGACGATGACGACGATGTCCCCGACGAGGAGTGGGTGGACGAGAGATCGGACTCAGACAGATCATGGACGAGGAGAGAGGGCATGGTGCCCTATGTTGAAGGCACACGATCTGGATTGAGGTCCCAAACGCGGGCGCGGCCAGAGGCGCAGCAGGGGGAGCAGCAGCAGCAGCACCAGCAGCAGCAGCAGGAGCAGGTTGAGCAGCAGCAGGAGCACGTTGAGCAGCAGCAGGAGCGGGTTGAGCAGCAGCAGCAGCAGCAGCAGCAGGTTGAGCAGCAGCAGGAGTGGGTTGAGCAGCAGCAGCAGCAGGAGCAGCAACAGGAGCAGCAGCAGCAGCAGCAGCAGCAGGAGCAGCAACAGGAGCAGCAGCAGGAGCAGCAGCGTGGGCAAGGGGATGAGGAGCAGCAGCAGCATGAGACGGATGAGGAGCAGCCGCAGCAGAGGGAGAAGGAGCAGCAGCAGCAGAGGGTGGATCCCGCAATCCAGCAGGAGACTGCAGTGCAGTCGTCCAGAGATGTGCACGAGGAGGGTGAGGCAGAGGGCGAGCAGGGTCGCCGCGAGGTGCGAGGATTTTACGGTTCTTCTCAACGGTGGACTCTCGTTGGGCGGCATGGAGCACATCCCGGTCGTGTGTGGGATCCCCTCGCTTATCGTGCTTCGCGAGGACGAGGGAGGGCGGCTGCTGGACGTGGGAGAGGGCGGACTCATGTGGTTGCTCAAGGCATCGATGGGGTTGCACGAGGCTCAGGGCGTCCGAGAGGGCGGCCATGAAAAGAGAAACCACTGGAAGCGGCAGCAGCACCAGCAGGAGCACCAGCAGCAGAGGAGTCAGATGATGAATCCCATGAGAGTGCACAATTGCAAAGGAAGAAGAGGACGGAGCCTGCTGCGGAGACGGAGACACAGGGCGAGAGTCATTGAGAGAGAGAGAGAGAGAGAGAGAGAGAGAGAGAGAGAGAGAGAGAGAGAGAGAGAGAGAGAGAGAGAGAGAGAGAGACCCCATTGTGTTTCACGTTCATGCTCCCATTGTGCTTCATGTTCCCAATGGCGAAACTGTTTCATTGTCGAGTTGTCCGAACTCAAGGGCTTTCGTTGTCTGTTAGAGGGGTTGCTTCATTGACTGTTATTTCATTTCGAATCTGCTCATCTTGGTGGAGTGGGGGTTGTCTGTGTGTGTGTGTCTATCTATGTGTGTGCTCCCGTGTGTGTGTGTGTGTGTGTGTGTGTGTGTGTGTTGTCATATTCGCTGTACACTCAAAAAAGCATGACTGTGCCAGACTGTCACCGACTTCTCATGTGGTTGAACACCGACAGTGTGGCCAGGAAGCAGGGGAGATGTGTGTGTGTGTGTGTGTGTGTGTGTGTGTGTGTGTGTGTGTGTGTGTGGTCATATTCGCTGTACTGTCTATACACTCAAAAAAGCATGACTGTGCCTGACTGTTTCGTCGGACTGTCACCGACTTCTGATGAGGTTGAACCCCGACAGTCTGGCCGGGATGCAGGTGTGTGTGTGTGTGTGTGTGCTTTGAGTGTGTGCATTCTACGCACGCCTAGGCAAGAAAACCTATGCCTGGTCCAATCTCCGATTTAACATCGGCACACCCTTTAGCTTGGGAATT